GTGTGTGTTTATGGAAATAAAATTTATTATTTTAACCATTTTCGAATATACAATTCAGGGGCATTAGGAACATTCATATTACTGTGCAAACACCACCACAATCTTTCTCCTGCACTTTTTCATCATTCCAAACTCAAACTCTATACCCATTAAACAATAACTCCCCATTCTTCATCCCCAAGCCGCTGAAGACCACCATTCTACTGTCTGTCTCTATGAATTTGCCTAATCTAGATACCTCATAAAAGCAGGATCATACAATACTTTTCCTTTGTGTCTCGCTTATTTTATATATAAGTGCTATATTGCTTTCAAGATTCATTCACGTTGTAGCATGTCGAACTTTAATTTGCTTTTAGGCCTATTTTTTTTTTGTGTGTGTTTATATGCAAATAGGTTTCCTTTTGTGTGACATAGAGGGCACTGTACTCATCATGTTTCAGGACCCGCAGAGCTGATGCATGACCTTGGACTGGGTGACCTCACAGGATACTGCCACCTTTGTCTGAGAAGCCAACCACAACCCTCTTCCCCTCCACAATTAGTTCTCAGATTTATATAACTTCTCTCTGTGCAATTTCTATTTTACACCTAGTATTTGTGGTAAAGGGCTTTGTCCCTTCTAGAAGGGAAGGAATTTTAGCTACCAGGAAATAGGTATGGCTATATAAAAAAATCAAGTTCATACTGAAATTGCACCACATGAAGATTGGTTTAGATGAAGGTCATGAGAGCAAAATAACTGTTGTTGGGCACTGTCTATGGACCAGGCGCTTGTCCAGGTATTCAACATTCATTACATGACTTAATCCTTTCAGCAACCCTCCAAGAGACATATGATCATTTAGGTTTGTACAGGTGAGAAATTGAGGCCCTGAGAAACTGAGGTACTTAGGTTCCCAGAGGTGAGACCAGGATCAGGGCAAGAAGCCAGGCCTACTCATGACAGACCTTGGCTACCTTCTTCTGCCAGATTCAAGAGCAAATATTTATAAAACATGAGATGTTTGAAAGATCTAATTGCTGGCTGAGAATACTTCATCTTGTTTCCCAGTGTGTCCTGTGATAACATGAGGAATTCAGTACTGCAGGGACCCTCCGCTTGGCCCAGCTTCAGGTGAGGGCATTCTATCAGTGCAGGTTCACCAGACTGGTAGCCCAGAAAGGGGGCAGGGGGCAGTTTGCTGTCCTGGTGGTGATGGTAGATAACTGCAAGAGTCCTCAGGTGGTGGATTTGTGTGGCTTCCTTCTCCCTCACAGTACCCTGTCTGCTGGGCTTGGGTAGGCCAGACTTCTAACCACCTGAGACAGTAGACATTCCAGGGGGTATGGAGGCCACTGACTTACCGCTTTCATCAATACCTTCTATTTTCACTCTTTGGTACTCTTAAATTCTCTTTTCATACCTTCTTCTGTAGTGAATGAAATAATGGACCTAATAGCTGCTAATTTTTGAGCACATGCTTTATACATAGATTTGTGATGAGTAATTTATACCTCTTACTTAAACTTCACAGCCACCTTATAAAGTAGGTTCTAGGGGAATTTAAAGAACTTTCCACACTCATGGAAGCTAGTAAATTCTTTTTTAAATTTTTTGTGGTGAAGAAATTTTTTTCCATTTATAAAAATCATAAAAACGATAAGCTATCTGTAAAAATAAATATTTTTTAAAAGATAGATTTTTTAAAAGATAAATATCAGAGTAACTCCATTCTACATAGAATTGTAAAACCATTCTATGCAGATTTAAAAAAAAAATGTTATTGGTTCTTTTTTCTTTTGGTGCCAAGGATTGAACCCAGGGCATTGTGCATGCAAGGCAAGCACTCTACCAACTGAGCTAGTTCCCCAGCCCTGGTTCTTTTCAGTTACACATGACATTAGAATTTATTTTGATATAATTGTAAGTGTATGCCATTTACCATATTCTAGTTAGGATTCCATTCTTATGGACGTATGTGATCGTGGGATTTGCTATGTGTATTTATATAGGTACATAGGAAAATGACTTTGGATTCATTCCATTGCCTTTCCTTTTCTCATTCCTCTCCATTCCCTTCATTCCCTTTTGTCTATTCTATTGAATATCTGTTCTTTCTATCTTCCTCTTTATTGTGGGTTAGCTTTCATATATCAACAAAAACATTCGACTGTTGGTTTTAGGGGACCGGCTTATTTCACTTAGCATGATAGTCTCCAGTTCCATCCATTTACTTGCAAACATCATAAAGTCATACTTGTTTATGACTGTTATAATATACAACAATTTCTTTTTTCCATTCATTTGTTGAAGGGCATCTATTTGGTTCTATAGCTTAGCTATTATGAATTGAGCTGCTGTAAACATTGATGTGGCTGCGTCTCTGTAGTATGCTGATTTAAAATCTTTTGGATATAAACTGAGGAGTGGGATAGTTGGGTCAAATGTTGGTTCCATTCCTAGTTTTTTGAGGAATTTCCATACTGCTTTCCAGAGTGGTTGCACCAATTTGCAGTGCCATCAGCAATGTATGAGTGCACCCTTTTCCCCCACATCCTTGCCAATGTTTATTGTTACTTGTATTCTTTTTTGTCAATTAAATATTTTTCTTTCTTTTTCATATATATCTTTTTCATATTCTGATTTGTTATGTATGACAGCAGAATGCATTACAATTCATATTACACATGTAGAGCACATTTTTTTATATCTCTGGTTGTACACAAAGTAGAGTCACACCATTCATATCTTCATACATGTACTTAGGGTAATGATGTCCATCTCATTCCACAGTCTTTCCTACTCCTATGTCCCCTCCCTTCTCTTTTCTGCACTTTGCTCTGTCTAGAGTTCATATAATCCTCCCATGGTCCCCCTACATATACAATTATGAATCATCATCCTTATATCAGAAAAAACATTTGTTATTTGGTTTATTGGGATTGGTTAACTTCACTTAGCCTTATATTCTCCAACTCCATCCATTTACCTGCAAATACCATGATTTTATTCTCTTTTAATGCTGAATAGTATTCCATTGTGTATATATACCACATTTTTTATCCATTCATCTACTGAAGAACATCTAGGTTGGTTCCACAGTTTAGCTATTGTGAATTGTGCTGCTATAAACATTGATGTAGCTGTGTCCCTGTAGTATGCTGTTTTTAAGTCCTTTGGGTATAGTCCTAGGAGAGGGATAGCTGGATCAATGGTGGTTTCATTCCCAATTTTCCAAGAAATCTCCGTACTGCTTTCCATATTGGCTGCACCAATTTGCAGTCCCACCAGCAGTGTATGAGTGTGCCTTTTTCCCCAAATCCTTGCCAAAATTCATTGTTGTCTGTATTCCTAATAGCTTCCATTCTGACTGGAGTGAGATGAAATCTTAGAGTAGTTTTGATTTGCATTTCTCTAATTGCTAGAGATGTTGAACATTTTTTCATATATTTGTTGATTGATTGTATATCATCTTCTGAGAAATGTCTGTTCAGTTTGTTGGCCCATTTATTGATTGGGTTATTTGTTTTCTTGGTGTTAAAATATTTGAGTTCTTTATATATCCTAGAAATTAGTGCTCTATCTGATATGCTTGTGGTAAAGATTTGCTCCCATTCTGTAGGGTCTCTATTCACCTCATTGATTGTTTCTTTTGCTGAGAAGAAGCTTTTTAGTTTGAATCCATCCCATTTATTGATTCTTGGTTTTAATTCTTGCACCATAGGAAGTTGGGGCCTAATCTGACATGATGGAGATTTGGGTCTACTTCTTCTATTAGGTGCAAGGTCTCTGGTTTTATTCCCAAGTCCTTGATCCACTTTGAGTTGAGTTTTGTGCATGGTGAGAGATAGGGGTTTAATTTCATTCTACTACATATAGATTTCCAGTTTTCCCATCACCTTTGTTGAAGAGGCTATCTTTTCTTCAATGCATGTTTTTGGTGCCTTTACCAAGTGTGAGGCAACAGTATTTTTGTGGGTTTGTCTCTGTGTCTTCTGTTCTGTTCCATTGGTCTTTGTGTCTGTTTTGTGGCAATATCATGTTGTTTTTGTTACTATAGCTCTGTAATATAATTTAAGTTCTGGTATTGTGGTGCCTCCTGCTTTATTTTTCTCTATAAAGATTGTTTTGGTTATTCTGAGCCTCTTATTTTTCCAGACGAATTTCATGACTGCTTTTCCTATATCTATGAAGAATATCATTAGAATGCTGATGGGAACTCCACTAAATTTGTGTAGCACTTTTGGTAGTATGGCCATCTTGACATCAAGAGCATGAGAGAGCTTTCCATCTTCTAAGGTCTTCTTCAACTTCTTTCTTTAGTGTTTTGTAATTTTCATTGCAGAGGTATTTCACCTTTTTGTTAGATTGATTCTGAGTTTTGTTGCTGTTGTTGTTGTTTTGTTGTTTGTTTGAGACTTTTGTGAATGGGATAGTTTTCTTAATTTCTCTTTCAGCTGATTTGTCGTTGGAGTATAGAAATGCAATTGATTTATGGGTGTTAATTTTGTATCCTGCTACTTTGTTGAATTTGTTTGTGAGTTCTGGAAGTTTTCTGGTGAAGTTTTTTTTTTTTTTTTTTTTTTTTTTTTAGGAGGGGGTTGTAAATATAAGCTCATGTTGTTGGCCAGCATATTTTGAGCTCTTCTTTTCCTATTCATATTCCTTTAATTTCTTTCTTTTGCCTAATTAGAGCAAGTAAATTGTTGACAGGAGATTTGAGCACAGGTCTGGCTTGGTCTTACTGTGCCTATTACAAACACAATAGCAGAGGAAGGTCAAGGGGGCAGAAGGACCTGCATTGTGATTAAATCATGCATGGCAAGGAAGCAAGTACAGTGGAAAGGGGATATGGAGAACTCTCAAGTTCTGCTTTAAGCTGTGTAACAGATAGGTAAAAGTAGCTGTTGTTTCCTAGTAGTCTTTAAGCTCCCATATTTCTGTACAATTGCAAAACAATCCTGTAATCATCTTGTTATTTCAACTGCTTTTCTTTTTAAGTCTTTGTGATCAAATCTAAAACTATAGTTGCATTTATTATTCCCAGATGGCATCATAGAGAACAGCTTTATGTAGTGACAAAGCATCCTGCCAAGTGTGAAACAAGAGACAGAGAATCCCAGGCCTAGAAGAGATGCCACAGTTAGAAAAACATGGCTTTCCAGAGACACTTCCACTACAGGGAAGAGCCATCCCTTCTAGGGAATGGGATTGCAAAGGATTTTCAACGTTGAAGATTGTACCATCCCTAAAGCAAAGGGGAACAGTAAAACACCATGTACTGAATGCTTCCTTTCTGTTTCCAAAAATCCTAGCCAAGTTAAGGGAACAATGAGAGCAAGCCTGGATCAGAAAGCCCAGATACATATTATCTTGAAGAACACTGTCTCATGCACACTGGGACCCAGGGAAAGTCCATGTTATCTGTAGAAAGCTACTTTCTTACATGTATGCTGGGAGAATTGCTCCTTGGAATGCTGGTCAGACAAGCAAACTAAGCTCACTAATGCTGACGATGTCACGGCTTCTGCAGCCTAACATATAAAAACCCCTCTCTGAGTGAAGATGGGCACGGAGCTGAGGGCTCTGTGGAAAGGGGATACGTCACCCATCCAGTCTGCTGCCATTGACCAAAACATCATGAGAGAGAGAATGTGTTTCTTGGCAAAGCACCCTGGGGGACAGAGGTGCTGTCACAATGTCACGACTAAATTCTTCTTGGAATAGTCAGGGACCTCTTGTAAGCTTCCACCAGAAAACCACATGTTTCCAAAGCTTCCTTTGGGCACTTTCTTTGTCCTGTCTGCAACCTACCCCACTGCCAGGGCACAACTGGGTTGTGGATGAAACAAAGCTTATATCCTCCCAGAACAATTTCTAAAATCCATCTTCTATTTAATTAGGGCCTCCACTTTGAGAAAAAACAAAAGACAAAGATACCCTCAAAATGTCTAGCTTATCTATAGATGATAGAAAAGGTAGACATTCATCTCCAAGTGAAATGAGTTTAAGCATTTTTTAAAAATCAAAAGCTGCTTCCCGACTCTAGCATCAAGATGGACGTGTGTGTGCACACAGATGAACCACATGATAGGTTTAGGCATGATGCCTGGCACATAGTGGACCTTCAGGAGAGCTCAATTTTCTTTTTTCTCAACCTAGAAAAGAAGAACAGAGATTTTTGTGGGTGGTTTTGAAGATAACATCTGTTTCTGAGTTGGCTAAATAGGATGTGGGAGGCTTTTAAATTGGGAAGAGAGGTGTGTTCAATAGGAGCCTCATGGCTGGTCCTGGGCAGGGAGGCCTCCCTCCTCTGGAATGTTTGCTCAGACTTGCTACACTGGGGGAAGGTGGGGGTGGGGGTTGCTCATTATGGCCCTAGTGGGTCTGGTCCTACCATTTGGTTCTGTTCATTGTCATTTAAAAGAATTATGCTTTGAAAAGTGGAATTGTTGGAAAAGAGTTCTTTTCCTGTGGAGAAGGAAAGGCAGAGTGAGATCCTCCCCATGCTCAAACACAAATGTCTGTAAGAGAAGAAAACTCTGCAGCCCACGGTCAGTCCAACCACTCTGGGAATTAACAAACATTTCTGCTAAGAGAAAAGCCCACTTCCAGGTCAACAGCTCTGGCCCAATATATCTGTGTTTTTTTGCCAAAAGTAAATAATTCAGACTCACAGCTGAACTCTTGCAGCAGCAACAGATAACCGACATTCCTTGCTTCTAAGGCAAGGATACTTGTGAACCCCTCATTTGTTGTCCACCAGTGCCTCTGTCCCCGACCCTAGGAGTGGGCGGCTTCATCTAGAGCACACAATCTTCTGTTGGTTCGGCTTTCGCGGCTTACACCCATAATCTACAGTGAAGCCCTGGACAGGACCGAGGGCTGCACCTGGGAACTTACTAGAAGTGCAGTCTCAGGACCCAGCCTATCCCTACAGATCAGAATCTTCATTTTAAAAGACATTGTATGCACCTTCAAGTTTGCAACTCCGTTTTCCCAAACACACAGGTGAACTTGGCTCTCTGAATAGATCACCACTGTCTCTAGATGGGTAAATGTTCTGTCACCTCCCATCCCCACTTGCCGTTGTCTCTATGGGAGGCCTCCTCCGTCTGCCTGCTTTGGTTTGAGACCCTCACTTGCTTCCAGGGGTGGTGTTTTTATTCAAATTCTCAAGCACTAGATGGTTTGCTTCTTCCCCTTTGAGTGAGAGGTCTGTGAAGAAAGCATGGACTTTAGCCATGTGAAAACCTGAGATCTGGCTGTTATAAGCTGAATGATTCAGCAAGTCCTTATCTTTCTGAGGTTCTGACATCTTATCTGTAAAATGAAAACATGACCTCTCTTGACATCATGTAGATAGTACCTGGCACATATTTCATCTGCTTGCTCAACTTTCCTGGATGTCCCTTGATAACTAGGCCCTTGGGAACCCTGACAGGCAAGGCTTGGGCCCATACACTCCTTTCATAGTGGCACCAGAGAATTGGATATAGACAGCCCTTGTGATGCAAATGGTGCCTTTTTCAGATAGTCTCATTCCACTATATAATATTATAGTGGAATAGTAATGTTATATCTAGAGGAAAAAAGTACTTAATTTTGAAGGAGCATATATTTTAGTAAAAGGTACCTTCAACAATACAAAAATACATATGTGTAATGATATTTATTAAAGTATTGTTTGTAAGTCCTCAACATTGGAAAAATCCTAAATGCCCCCACACAGGTGAGAGATGGCATAAAAATATGATGCATGCAAACAATGAGATACTTACTTTGAAGCTGTAACACAAATAAACAAATAAATGACTAAATAAGAAAGTGCTTTGTGAACTAAGATGGAGATGAGTTCTGTGATCTGTCATTAAGTGAACATAACAACAACAAAACACAAAGTGCAAAAATATAGCTGTGATGTGCTGCCTTTCAGGTAAGAAAGAAGAGGAGCATTGAAACCCCTCTAAGCAATGAGTGCACAAAAGGTCCCCAGTAAAAAGAGATGAGGAATTTTTGAGAATGACTGAGTTCAGGGCTGGGGCAGAAGAAAGAAAGATAAGCCTGGAACATTTTTTGCTACAAAAAGTCGCTGGAGAAGCTCACAAAAAGGGAAAGCTTGTCATAAAAGACCCAGAGCCAAGATGAAGGAGCTCTAAAGGCCAAAGCTGGAATGATTTGAGCAACACCATATATGTTGGTTATACATATATCCAAATAATATATTTACTTGGTTATATAAATAACTGAGCAAAGGAGAAGGGATAGCTTTACTTTACAGAACAATCCCAGTTATTAATTATAAAATAAATGAAGGAAATAAAAATCACTGTTTAGAGGGCTGTGGATATAGCTCAGTTGGTAGAGTGCTTGCCTTGCACACACAAGGCCCTGGGTTCAGTCCCCAGGACCACCAAAAAAAAAAAAAAAAAAAAAAAAATCACTGATAAACACTCTGGTAATATTTGCTGTAGACAAGATCTATAATGAATGCTATGTAGCCAGTAGATAAAAGCTTATTCGGAAGCAGAATATTTACCTAGCAACAAAGTCTCTCCATAAGATATTTATTCATTCCGAAGGGATAGCTTGTAACTACAATGGGTCAACCCTGGAAGACATGCCTTTAATCAAGAGATCAAGGTAAACACTGACAAGTATGAGACAGGTTATGTCTGGAAAATGATGTCTAGAAACCAAGCACTGAGAAGGTAATAGAGTAACTTCCATGATATTTTGCGTAAAATGTATTCTCAGCCAATCCACAAGAAAACATCAGGCAGATGCAAACTTAGGCATAGCCCACAAAATAATTGACCATTTCTCTTTAAAAATGCTAAGATGATAAAGGAGAAGGATAGCCTGTCACAGATAGAGGTGGCTAAGTAGATATGACAACTAAATATAGTGTGGGGTATCAGATGACATCCTTGTCTAGAAAAAAAATCCCAATTGAAAAAGTGATGGAATCCAAGCAAGTCTGCAGTTTAATAAATAGCATTACCTATTGTTGAATTCCTGATTTTGATCATTGTACTATGGTATTGTAAGATGTTTATATTAGAGGACCCATGAGGTAAATGGTATCTTGGAACTCTATACCAGTTTTATAATTTTTTTCCATAATCGAAATAATTTCAAAAAATTAAAAGATACACCTTAAATGATTTGTTGATGAAATAAAATGAAATTAAATCTGAGATTCTTTTCAAATTTTGTCGAAAATCATTGAAGCAAAGTGAAGGGTACATCTAAGCCTATCATAATGTTCTTGCTGCATTTAAACATGTTAGTGAATTTCTATTATAAAAGGGAAGTTATGAATATTCATTAAGCTCCCTCTATGTACTGGGCACTTTGGTCAGCCATGATTGGCAGTCATGCCCCCAGGAACTCACAGTTGACAGGGGGAAAGCAGGTATTAAACATGGCAAGTCCAAGAGTGATATGATAGAGGGGGCACAGGACCCCAGGGCAGGGGACAGGAGTGTTCCAAACAGAGTAAACAGTGTGTGCAAAGGCTCAGGCAAGAGGAGCTAGAGTGCAGCCAATAAGATAAGGGTCTGCTAATGACCCCCAACCAGGCAGCCAATCCATGGGGCTTGGATAACTCAGCCAGATTCCTTGGGCCTATGGATTATGCAACAGAATCCACAGTTTAGCCCTTTCTACAAAAGTAGATTGCTCCCTCCCACTCTTATCAAATTCATTTCCTGATAGCACTTTCTTACATTGAGGTTTTTCTTCCCCCATGAATTTATTCTTTTTTTTTTTTTTAATCTGCCCTAAACTTTACAGTCAATTTAATGAAATCTTTTGAAAGTAGTGTCTTAAGAAAACAGATGTCCAGTGACCATGGCCTTCTAGGACAGACTTAAAATCCTTTGTTAACACATACATTGATAATTCTAAAGGACAAAATTTGCCATTTTCTTTCTAATCTAGCATAAAATTCTGGAAACATGAAAGCCAGGGGAGTGGCTGTTCCCCACTGGACCCCACCCATGTTCAGAGGGCAAGGGTTGTTAGCATATTAAAGCTGCTAACACACCCACTCAGAGCTGGCCTAGAGGAGCGCAGCAGCCAGGCAGCCTGCACTTGAATCAGGTTGGTACTCCCTTTTTAAAATCTTCGTGAATGTTCTCGTGCCTGCTTCACTAGGAAAACATTTTTAAATGTGGTACTTTGTGTGAGCATTTTATGTTCTTATATTGCTTTCTTTGTATACTCAGGGGAAAAGAAATGTTGTCTATTAGTTCTTTAAGGAAAAATAATATCCAAGAATTCAGAAGAAAAAGACAGAGAATTTGATGCTAGGAGAAAAGCGCAAATGGTGTCATTATCAGTGATCTGAAAATGCTTGCTTCTCAGTGCCTGCTGGTGTGTAGGAGCTGACGCTAAAGTTGTGTTCTCCATTTAAAGAATGTATTAGTGTGACTCATATAGGACTTGATACACAATTATGATGGGAGCACCACTTGAACAATGAAAAGAAAATATATCTAGGTGGTTGTATGGCTCTTGAAGTAGAATATCCAGTTTGGAAACCAGTAATCAGTGACTGCCAATCAGAATCTGAATGGCACTCTCCTAACTGACTTCACGTGTTTGTTGTTCATATATTACATTGTAATTGGGCACCAAGTAGCAAGTTCTTCTTCCTGCATCACCATCACCTGCTCCCTCTCCTCTTCCTTCTTCCTCTCCTTCTCTTTGTCTTCGTCCTTTCTCCTCCTCTTCCTCTCCTTCAATGCTACTGAAACCAAAGGGTGGGCAGAGCTTAAATTCTCAAAATCACAAATGAATCTAAATGTATCGGACTTTAGGGGGCAGTAAGGCAAGTGGACCTGGCTTTATTTCTTAGAACTAAAGAACAACGCCCAACTTTTGAACTGTCATGTTTCCAGTCCAAAAGAGAATTTGGAAATACCTTTTATTTGCCAAGTTAAATATGCCCCTGGGCTATGCTACCAAAGAACTTAACCTCTTTGTTTCTACTAGGTAGGAAACTTCCATTGCTTTAATTATTCTGTTTAAATGTCAGAATGGCAGTTTTTATAACCAGAATTGGTTATTTTATTACAATAATCCTAGCTTATTATATTTTTGCTCTATACTAAGTGTATTCTTAAATAATGATTCCTCTAAAGGAAATGCTATAAAGCAGAATAACAGCTACAGATTTTGGACCGAACATGGCACAATGTACAGTGCTAAAAGACTGACAACTTCTCTGCTTCATGGGCTCACAATTTAGTGTGTGTTCTTGGAAGGAAGAAAATAGTAACCTTTGCAGGCTGGGAAAATTCAAAAATAAACTATAGCAGAAGGAAACTACTCTGAATATCAGAACTAGGTTAAAATCCAGACTTTATCTTAACTAGCTAAGTGGAAAATCACACACTCTTTCTAGAGTTTAAAGTATTCATTACCAGTTTGGAGGAAGGGCTAACTGACGTCTCAGATCCCATCCAAGTCTACAACTTGGGAATTCTTAAAGGGAGAGCTTGATCTATCTGTGAAGGTATAATTGGTTTTCATGAGGCACATACAGTCACTAAGTAACAAGTGACAGTCACTAGTGCCCCAAAATAGTTGTCAACATAAAAAGAATAAAATGAATTTTTTTATATAAGAAAGCCTCAGAATCTCAGACCTTGTGAAAGGCCACATGCGTGTTAGGGCCTGTGCAGGGCAAACCAGAATTCATGGAGGAAAAAAAACCAACCCCAAATACCCAGAATCTTCTGTGGGAGAAGAGATTAAAATGTAATGAAGGGGACTCACTCTAGTATTGCTACCAGCAGCTTTTTTATATACCCATGAGGAACAACCCTAATCTAAGGGTAGGAAGGCAGACACACAGGGAGTTAGAAAGCTGCTTCGGCTGGATGGTACTAACCTAGGCAGAAAGGGCAGACTCTTCATCTCAGCCTGGCATCCTTCTACCCTGGCTCGGGCTTGCTTGAGTGATGAGTCTTAGGTCAAATTCTCAGGAATCCATAAAGGACAGCCACACATTTTGCAGGGTGCATTCTGCTGCGTCAGGTGTCTTCAAGCCTGTGGTCCTGACTAGATGGGGGCAGGGACCAAAGCAGACTAGTATCTTGCTCCTTCCAACCATTATCACTGCTTCACATGCTTGATATGTGGAAGCTGTTCTATGAATGTTAGAAAGTTTGAACGAAACTTTTAAAGAAGAGCAATATATTTACATGGAAAGCAGAAAGAAGGCAATAAAAAAAGAAAAGAAAGAAGGAAAGAAAAAGATTACACTAAATTTCCCCTGGCACATTTAAATGATTTTGACATACAGAAAAAATCAAATTTCACACATAATAGCTCAGTGGTAGAGCACTTGCCTAACATGGGTGAGGCACTGGGTTTGATCCTCAGAACCTCATACAAAATAAACAAATAAAATAAAGTTTTGAAAAATATATTTTAAAAAAATAACTACTGCGTAGAGATAAATATATATGTGCTAAAAACTGAACAACCACAAAATCTTGCAAAACACATTTTAAAGTGTTTTCTGACCAAAGGTCTAGCAATTAAAAATAGATTTGAAATTGTCTCCCACTAACCAAGGCAATTGAATCTTTGCTTTTTAATGAACTCTGGGCTTTTGTATTCACAGTCCTGATGAAACTTGCCTCACCCCATTGCTGAACTTGCCTGGCCACTGTGGGACCTGCCCTTTCTGGCTCCCTTCTCTGAGCTGTTCTCCCAAGCAGCTTGGGAAACAGCAGTGATTCTCAGCCAGGGGTGATTTTGCAGACCTAAAGGAGATTTGGCAAAGCCTAGAGATGTTTTGGGTTGTCATGATTGGACGGTGGAGGGAAGTACAGAACTATGCTTTTGGATGCTGCTTAGTAAATAAACTCCAATGTACAGGATAGTTTCCTGCAACAAAGAATTATCCAGCCTAAAATGTCTGCAGTGAAGAAAAGCTGGGGATAGGCAACAGATTTCTTTGGCTAGTCCCAGCCAAGTTTCTCTCTTACATTTACACCAACACAGAGCACAGTTACATATACAACCTCATAAGATAATTGGAAACAAAATCAAGGTTTCACCATAAAACACTGACGGTTGCCATATATGGCTCACACCTTGATATTTTCTATGATGATGAAACTTTAAAACACTATCTGAAAAACCATGGTATTGATTTTACAACCCACAAAGAAGTCATGATCCAAAGTTTGCAAAATGCTGATCTAGAGAAGTTCCAAGGTTTGGGGGACCAATAAAAGTGTACTTGACGAATAAAAGTATACACACACACACATACTTTTTTTTTTTTTTTGGTATTAGGGTTTTGGCAATTGAACCCAGATGCACTTTACCACTGAGCCACATCCTTAGCCCTTTTTTATTTTGAGACAGACTCTCACTAAGTTGCTGAGGCTGGCCTCAAACTTGCCATCCTCTTGCCTTAGCCTCTCAGGTCACTGGGATAACAGTTATGGGCCAGTGTACCTGGCATAAAAGTGTATTTGAATGCCAGGTTTACCACATCAGTAACCTGTATAGATATAAATATCTTCTTTTGCAAACTTAGAATAATAAAAAATCTATATCAAATAATTTTATGAGGACTAAATGAAGATAAAAATGAGAAATTGCCTGTTACATGGTAGATACAAAATGTGTTCCCCATGATATAAATACTCCTTTCTTGGATTGTAAAATAAAGTTCAGTAGTGGAAAAACGGAATTTCAGTATAAAAAAGAAATAAGCACCTTTTTCTGTGGGGAGAATTTAGGTTTGGGCTGCAGTCAGGGAAGCTGAACCTCATTTTAATGCTTTTGAATAAATGCAGCACAGGAGCCAAAGAGCTGGAGAGTAACTTTGCTCCTGTCCCCTTCTTCCTGCCAGACACTATGTCCTGTGTCCTGTGGTTTTTGAGGCCTCCTTCCGGGCTGTCAGGTCCTTCAGGTGTAGGATCCAACCTGCTCTGTTCATATCCTCAAAATGAGGGCAAATAGCAATATGAGAGTGGCTTGGTACACTTTCAGGAGTGGACCAAGGAAGATCTTCCTGGGACTCCAGCAATCCTTCCATGTAGAAGGCAGAATTTTTTTGTATTGTTGGATTATTAGCCATACATTAAAGTACCTCTTTCTTCTGTGTACTCATTCATTCATTCATATTTAGTGAAACAAGAGAGACTGCTAATATGGCGGGGAAGCCTGTGCTTCATTACTTCGATAGCCGGGGCAGAATGGAGTGCATTCGGTGGCTCTTGGCAGCAGCTGGAGTGGAGGTAGGTTCTAAGTTAGGTTACCTTACGTTGGATCTAAAATTGACTATATCAACATACTTTTCTAAACTAGGAGAGTTCCATACTAGATAACCTGTGAATGGTTTGCCTTAAATAAAAAAGTCCCGTTATTATGAAAGAAATTGACTGATTGACCAAAGGGAAATGACAAAAATCTTCCTGGCAAAGGGCCACATGAACAATTAAAGTATATTCTGTAAATGTATTGTAATTATATAGAATAATGTAAATAATGTACTCTGATTGTATTAAAAGATATTTTTAAAAGAAACCAGAGACATCAAATAATCACAGTGTGTGAAATTCATTTGCATTTAAATGAACTTTAAAATATAGTTTGTGACAGAAGCAATTAGAAACTGGAATATTGAATAGGTATCAAGTGAAATTTTAAAATTGTTAATTTTTAGTGAGTTTTTTGTGTGATTTTAGGTATGATATTGTTATTTTTTTAAATAGTTCTTAGTTTTAGAGACACCCTGAAGTATTTAGGATGAGATCACATGATACCTCAGACTTATTTCACATGACCAAAGTGAGAGAGAGGATGGACACGGGGAGGAAATAAGATCAGCATGAGTTGGTAATTACTGGAACTGGTGACTGATATGAGGAAGATGCTTGTGTTTTATGTGTATTTTTATATGTACCAAAACTCACACAATATAAAGGTAAAATGTGTAAAACTAAAAGTAATTAAATTAAAAATAAAAACACAGATGAGAGGTGGGAGGGAGTAGAGAGTAACAACCGGCCTTTAACAGTGGAACACATCTGTTTAGTAATTATTTTGTTGAGCACCCATGAAATGCCAGGTTCTGTGCTGGGTCCTGAGGACACATGGTGAACAAGGCAGACAGAGTTCCTATCTTCAGGCAGCCTGCATATATGTGAGGATGCAGACAAATTGGGACTTAAATGAAGAGTGGGAACAAGCATTTTACCTGGTTAAAAGGCCATTGCTGGAATGGAACCACCATTTGATCCAGTTATCCCACTCCTCAGCATATATACCCAAAGGACTTAAAAAAAGCATACTATAGTGATACAACCACATCAATGTTTATAGCAGCTCAATTCACAGTGGCTAAGCTATGGAACCAACCTAGGTGACCTTCAACAGATGAATGGATAAAGAAATTGTGGTATATATACACAATGGAATATTACTCAGCCATAAAGAAAAATGAAATTATGGCATTTGCCAGTAAATGGATAGAACTAGAGACTATCATGCTATGTGAAATAAGCTAGTCCCCCCAAACCAAAGGCCAATGTTCTCTCTGATATGTGGATCTAACACACAATAAATTGGGAGGAGGGAAGAATAGAAGTTCACTGGATTAGACAAAGGGGAATGAAGGGAAAGGAGGGGAATAGGGATAGGAAAGACAGTAAAATGAGTCAGGCATAACTTTCCTATGTTCACATATGAATACATGACCAGTGTCAACTGCACATCAAGTTCAACCACAAGAATGGGAAGTTGTACTCTGTATATATAATATGTCAAATACACTCTACTGTCCTGTATATCTAAAAATAACAAATAAAAAAAGAAAGAAAGAAAAAAGGCCATTCCTTCTAACTTTTGAATAGGAAAAACTGGTAAGGCTCTGTGTTGAGTGCTTCCCCCTAGTGGCATCACTAGGAAAAACGATTTTTAGTCGGATCAGAGGGACCCAGCAACTGCAGAAGGGGTTTCGTGGGAAGGAAGTGAACACTCTCAGGGAGAGATTTTGTTCTGTGAGTGGGAGCAGAAGAGGGTGGTTAAAGGGTGTGGTCACGTTCTGTGAAAGGAATTTTTAATGTGCTCCCTTGCCCTCATACGGGATTACTTTCTCAATTCCTTCATAAATGCCTGAGACTTTTTAGCTTGATCCTTTCTGAATTTCATAAAGAAGCAAGTGCACAAAACCTCAAAATACTGTAGTGCTATTCCAGGCAGATATAGATATAGATATAGATCTTCAGTACCATATCTCTCTTTTTATATGGTACCAGGGATTGGATTTGGTGGTGTTTTAGCATTGGGCTACATTTCTATCCCTTTTTAAAAATCATGCCCTTTACTTAGTAGAGCTAATCTGAAGTTCCAAGTGGTCCTGATCAGACTCTTCTGTGTGTACTGCCAAACTCAAGAAAATTTAACCTCTCCATATCAATTACTGAACAGGGACTAATTAAGTTTTAAAGGCTATGAGGTTATGCAGTGAACAAGAAGAACTTCTTGACCTTTTCTGTTTCCAGTTTGAAGAGAAGCTTATAGAATCTCCAGAAGATTTGGATAAGTTAAAAAATGGTAAGACCATCTGAATGTTCTTGATGAAGGTGTCCAGCAAAAGGCTGAAATACCAGGCAATGATATGGTGTATGGTGGGGTGGTAGCTAGGGATGGTAGAGAGGTAGAGTCGGGGTAAAATGTAAGGGTGGGACTCCTTGAAAAGATCTGGCAACTCTCGCAGGGTTAAAAAGGGCTGAACCTCTCTGAGAATTGCTAAGGAATCATTCCCGTGCCTTGTGGTCATCAGCTCAGGATCCTACTGTGTCCTCTCATCCAAGCACACACATGGATATGCATTAGATGGCAGGAGGGGAAATAGATGGGGCAATTACCTTGAGTTTTTAAATTTATGACTTGTCACAATATCCCAGCAAAACTGAAGACTTGAAAGAGCCTAGAAAGGAACCTCAGCATAAAAAACTCTCAGAACCTATCTTAAATGTCAAGAACACCATGAGACTTAATTTGGAAGCTTCCCACTTAAAATGACATCTGGCTGGCAGCCCTGCCACAGCCCCTCCTAACCTTCCTAAAATATCCATGAAAATGTATTAAACACACACACACACACACACACACACAAAGGCACTTAGTATGTATTTAGATGGGAATAAAAGACAAATAAAATAAGCTAAAAAGTAAAAAAATAGGTGAGGAAAAAGGACTATAGGAAGCTAAAAATAAAATGCTATTTTACTTGAAAAGTTACCAGACAATATATTTTTTTTTACATTTGTATCTTCTGTCATTTCAAGGAACATTTTCTCATCATGAATGAATGGGACCCACAGACATTTCATTC